TCCTTAATTAATGTCACATCTGATTATATTTAATACTTTATTTATAAAGTCAGAGTTACCTGAAATGATGTCCTGTGTCACATTAACTGCAGACTGTGTACCATATGGAACTGAGCAGCTGTAAGACACAGTGAAGGTTCATTCTCCCACAAGACGTTTTCCTGTTGTAACGTCTTATGATTATCACTAAATAAATATTGCTGCCATCAGCTGCAGAATCTGCCTCGTTGTTTTGGAAATGAAAAACTCTGTACACGTGCTTTCTCTCCAGAAAGAGCATCCGAGAGGAAAGGCCTGAAGTTTGTCAGTGTTGTATATTTATATGTAAATTATTTCACCTTATTGTATAAAATGTCATACATGTGAATACTGATCTTCACAGTCATTCTACCTATCTCTCTGTGTGTGTGTGCGTTTTGTTTTGTTTTTTTTGCTTTTTTTTGTTTATTTATTTGAGTATCAACTCCTGAGACCCCAATTGTGATAATACTATTTATTATAATGTGAAATGAAAAAGAAAGAGACACAGGGGTGGTGGCGATGATGGTGATGTTTGAGCAAAATCAAAAAGAGCAAAAGTGACAACTCACTCATCTTGTTTATAAAATAAATGGACAAAGTTGTCATTTACTGAGAAAATGTTATCATTAGAAGCTGTTATTGCAGATGTATTTCAGAATGTTCTTGTAGTTTCTCTACTATTTATGTGTAAATTAAAAGTCTATATGAAAAACTGAATGTGGAGGACTAGTTCATGTTTGTGTGGATGGAGTCCCTTTACCCAGAACATGAAGTTCTTTCTGAAACTAAAAGCAGGCTGTTAAGAAGATCCCGGTTATTATATCTAAATGCAAACTTATGTTTTATGGGAAGTGTGGTTCAGAAGATGGAGTGGGCTGTTGACTAGTCAGAAGTAAGTGTTTTTCTATATGTCAAACTGTCCTTCAGCAAGATATTGAATGCTAAGTGCATCCATCAGAGTGTGAGTGTGGGACTGTTAAGTTAAACTTGCTTAGCCATAGAAAAAGGTGCTTGTGTAAATGTATGTGTGAATGAGTGGATCAAGTTTGCAATAAGCAAGCACTTGGGGATCTGCATGCATGCTTGTGTTGCCTCTTAAAGATGCTGTAGAAATTTAAAAAAAAAAAAAGAAAAAAAAAGGTAAGAGTGAAGTCAAACTGATTTATAAGACCAATTCAAAACAACAGCCGAACAGCTAAAATGGCATAAAACAACAGGGCAGGTAAATCAAATGGAAATAGGATGGAAAAACACCAATTAAACAGTATAAGAAAAGAGTAATTGAGTGATGTGGTCACTTAATATTCATTGCGCGTGTGTGTGAATCTGGCTACGTCTGTTGCACGACGTCGGCATGCCTGTTTACGGCAGCAGCATCTCTGGGAGTGGCGGTAGAAGGAGGAGGAGAAGAAGAAGTTGCCAGCATGGCGTTTACTCTTTACTCTCTCATCCAGACCGCTATTCTGTGTACCAATGCAATCGCTGTGTTGCATGAGGAGAGATTTCTCAGCAAGAGTAAGTGTTTTTTATGTCACGTACATCATATGGTGAAATAACTGGTTAAAAGCAGCTAGCTACGCGTATACATTTAGCAGGCTGCCTCTTGGTTAATGGAGAGGCTCTTGTTTGGGATTTATAAGGAAGAATTAAGGGTTGAGCATTACAGAGAAAAAAAATGCAATGTTTTGAATAACATTAAAGCGGGTGGTCTTTTTTTTTTTAAACTGGAAAATAAACACGTATACATGCATCTGCTATCTCATTTACTGGTGTTTCTCATCTTTCTTCCCATCTGTCTCCTGTACTTTCTCTTCTCCTTTATTTCTCCGTGTGTCTGCAGTTGGTTGGGGTGTTGACCAGGGAGTTGGAGGTTTTGGAGATGATCCAGGAATCAAAGCCCAGATTCTCAATCTCATCCGCTCAGTCCGGACTGTCATGAGAGGTCGGTAGGCTGTATTGTTCATAAATCCTTAGCAGATCTTAAAAATAAGTAAATGTACTCTCATATTAACTGTAACTGTGAAGATACAACAGAGTAGAGGTAGTGAAGGCTTGAGGTTAAAAACCTGGGGCAGTGCACAAGAGAGGTGAAGAAGAGAGGAGAAACGGGGTGGAGATAAGTGTTAAGAGTGATTTATGGCAGGAAGAGTGAAGGGGAATGTTTAAAAGACAGCAGTGAGACCTGCTGTTTTATATGGTTTGGAAACAGAGGTGGCACAGTTTAAGCTGAGATTTTCATTGGGAGTGACCAGAGTAGCCAGGATTTATGAGTTTCATGTAGTGAAAGAGGACATTCAGAGGGTTGGTGTGTCAGAGGAGGATGTCACAGATAGGGTGCATGACTTACTTTGGACAGACACAAGACCAAAGTGGAGATTTGGGGTTGTTTTGGTCACAGCCAAAATTGGGTCAATCAGGATGACAATGATCCCAATCCCAGCAGCAAATCTACTACAGAATGGCTGAAAAAGGATAAGAATTCAAATGCTTCAGTGGCCCAGTCGAAGTCCAAAACTCAACTCCAATGAAATGCTGTGGCAGGACCTTAAGAGAACTGTGTGCACATGAATGACCACAAATATCAATGAACTGAAGCAACCCTGAAAAGAAGAGTGGGCCGATCCACAATCACGTTAGAGACTGATGAAAGGTGATTTTACAAGTTAGTGAATCGGATGCAATTAGTTTTTCACACACTGCTTCTGCATTTTGGCTTAGCTTTCATTAAATAACTAATGACACACTGTAATATGTCATATGTAATTATTCATTTGCAGTTGCATTTGCCTATTTTTAAGATCTGCTAAGGATTTTTGTTTAATACACAAAATCTTAAAAATGAAAGAGGGTGGACTTTAAGTTTATCATGACTGTCAACAAACATTTTTTTTCTGATGTTAAGAAAATCAAATAACTTTTTCCTAAATAACCCAGTATTAAATGAGCTAAATTGCTGGTGTGCTCTTCAATTTTTAATTCACTCTGCAACAGATGTATTTGAGTCAAGAATTAGCAGCTGTAATATTTCTGAGGTTGCTGATGGAATCAGTTTGATTACTTTGTGTTTTGTACTCTTGTTTTTACAGTGCCTTTGATAATAGTGAATTCTGCCTGCATCGTCCTGTTGCTGCTGTTTGGTTGATCTTCGCCTACCAAACTTAGGTGGAGGACCACAAACATGCCAATGAAAAGCCACTCGCACAAAATCCTGAACTCTTTGCCATTTAGAGACTTCTGCCACTGTCAGTTATTGGGAGGGCGGAAATGTTTTTCAACTGGCCGGTGCTGAAATAGAAGATCAACTGCAGATTTTTAAATGCAAAGAGAAGAAGAACTGAAAATTAGCTGGTGCAGACTTCCTGTTGTGTTTCATCACCACTAAAAGGACAAAATTGATGTAATTTTGTCGAGGTCATGACCACACAGGATGATGGTTTCATCTTGATCCCCGATATCATATCATTTGCAAATGTTTTTTTTTAAATCAGTATTTAAATAACCTGTTGGTACAGACAGATTTGTTGACACTTCATACTGTAAAATGGGCCTGCAAAGTTTTTTTGGTTTTTTTTTTCAAACATTTATGGGGCAACTAACAGCAGGTTCAAAAAGGAACACAATTCACAAATCTCTTCATATATATGTGTTGAATTGATTTGTAATTGGCCCATCTCTGAGAACTGAAAAGGCTAAATGGTGTAGATGTAAATTTTAAGCAATGCTGCCAAACGCAGCTCCGACCAATGTATTTTGAACTGTTTACACTTCAGTGCCACAAAAATTGAGATACTGTCTTGAAATAAATGTATCACTCCGTGTTGTGGAATTCCTTATGTTATGTTGCTTTCTGTGTGTGACAGCAGACAAACTTAAACAAATGACATTTCGATAAAACTTCCAGCTGTTTTGTTGATGAATGAAATATTAGATGTGTAGCAAGTAACGAAGATAAATGTTGCCTGTCCACTCTGTCAGGTTGGTGCCGATTTACATTGGTGACCAATGTGAAACTGAATTTAAAAATACGGTAGTGTATGGTTACCTGGTGGCTTTACACATTCACATACAGTACTGTGCAGAAGTCTTGAGACACTTCTTGTTTTGTTTTGGGGTTTTTTTGCTGTTTGTTTTTATGTCTCTAAAGTGATCTTGAACAATAGTTCTTTGGGAATTCTGAAGGTCTTTAAGTAGCCTGGAGCCTATTGGCTGCTTTTGCACTCATTTCAGTGCATTCCTTACACTTTATTTGTTTATTTTCAGAAAAATGGTTGTGTTTGTTAAGCCCATCATAAGAAATGCGCCTAACTCAAGCTCTAAATGTTATAAAATAGTACTTGTACCAACAAGGTGATTCCCAAAGAGCAATTAGCCAAAACCTTGGCAAAGAATATTCTGGCACAGCATGCAATGCGTCCTTAAAAGTACTGAGGAAACTGGACAAGGTGGAGGACCTAAGACAGATAAACTGTATCTGAAAGTCATGTCCTTAAGGAACGGGAAAAACATCATCAGAAATTGTCTCAGTGGAAGGGTGGCTGTCAAGAAGCAGTGTTAAGCAAGGAAAACGGTGAGAAAGGACTGAGATATACCAAATTGCACAAGAACTGAACCAAAAAACAGCAGCAATGGGTCTCGTGGAGTGATAGTCCTCAGTATGTTAGGAGGAGGTCAGGAAAGAGGTGAAATGGTGAGTGTTTACAGTCATCTGTAGAACAAATGGAGGTTGGGGGCTTCATTTCAGTCACTGGTTTTGGGGATCTCATCAAAATG